AACTTGTTTCTTCCATATGAGCCCATGCATGATCGGGTTTTCAGCAATTACAGTGAAATGCACCTCTGCTCATATTTTGCCCTGGCACAGCACTTGATGTTCTCAGATTCTCTCAGTTTAATTAAGGTCTAGTCCATTCTTCTGAGCCAGCAAACCATGCCAGTGCGTGGTCATGACCCTTGACCGTCCGGTTTAAAAAAAGCTGACAATGCCAATAACTAATTTGGCACAGTTTCTATTTACTCCACTGGGTTGGGATAGCATCGTGTGCACAGGGTTACTATCCTCACTTAGTGACCCAAATGTTAGCTTTCGCAATCACGTGTGTGTGTATCTATCTGTGTATTCACACACCTAATCAGACAAAGAGACTTGAACAACATTGTGTTCCATTTCTGTTTTTTGGTTTTTTCAGAGAGAAAAAATTACAGCTTGAGCTCCCAGCCAGCCAATGGTTATGAACATCAGTCTGGCAATGGGTTCAACCACCAGGACCACAATTCCCAGAATGCAGATGGATTGGAGACAAATGCACTGCCCACTCCAATTGCAAATCCCCAAATTGTTTACACTAAGGTAAGCTGCAAGCCAAGAAGCAAAGCATATTTATAAGATGAAATAATTTGAATATAGGAAATATTTACCAGTCCTTTATCAGTTGGGATACAGTAATTACCTGGAACAGCATTCAGAGATGATACCCTACACTGTCAAAGAGTGAGGGGGATACATCACACAATCTTTGTCTCTCTTTCACCATCAGGTGTTCATCGGTAACGAGTGGCATGAGTCATGCAGTGGCAGAAAGATTCCTGTGTATAATCCCACCACCGAGAAGCTGCTGTGTGAAGTGGAGGAGGCTGACTCAGTGAGTATTTTACACGTCGCTAGTAAGTTAGATGTGCTTTTTTAAAGCTTTACAAGAAAATTTTTTGAATTGTAATGTTTATGGAGCATTATTATGACTTACATTGTGAGCACTTTTTTGTACAATGTCCAACGTGTTGTATGCTGTGTAGATTGGGGATCTCCTTAAAGCAAATTTTTCAAGTAAACACATAAACTTGATCTGGCGTGATTGTGGTGGTAACCTCCTTAACGTGTGCTAATAACAGGATGATGTAGACAAGGCAGTGAGGAGTGCCAGAGCTGCTTTCCAGATGGGATCACCATGGAGATCCATGGATGCCTCAGACCGAGGCCATTTACTTAACAGACTTGCCGACTTGGTGGAGCGAGACCGGCTCTTGCTAGCAGTGAGAAATACACATACACGTACCTGAAGTAAATCATCAGTAAATGTTGCTCCACAAAACATCACGACTGGATTATTATGACGCTGTGTGTGCTTTTTTGCTTGTTTTCCAGACACTAGAAGCTCTAAACTGTGGCAAAGTTTTCCTCGTGGCATATTTTGTAGATCTGATGGCTACAATCAAGACCTTGAGATATTACAGCGGCTGGGCAGACAAGATTCACGGAAAAACCATCCCCGTAGGTGAGTTAAATTCATTTTTTTGATTTAGATCAGATGTTACACGTGTTTCCATATTTGAAACCATCAGCACAACAAAAACTGGATGCATTCAGTGCTATAATAAATGAACTGTGTGTGTTTTTTTTCTTTTGTTTTTTAGATGGAGAATATTTTACCTACACACGGCATGAGCCCATTGGAGTATGTGGTCAGATCATTCCTGTAAGTGAAATAAACACTAAAGGATGGCAAACATTCAACTTTTATGTTACCAAGTTTTTGTGTTTTTTCAGTGTTTACATTCAGCCAGCTGTGAGTAAAGTAATGGTCCTGAATGTGGTAAAAAAAAAAA